GGAAAGCATTTAGTAAGATATATCAGCCAATGTATTTAAGACTTTTGCTAGACCTGCAAAATATCTATGCAAACAGCTCTGTACTTTGTTTATTAATATTTAGACATTTCATCTCAAATATCATTATTATTTTAGTAATTCCTTTCATAAATTAAAAACTGCATTTTGCTTATCATACTTTAGTTTGACATAGATAACTTGAAATGTTGATTTCCTATTTGTGTATTTATAGTCATTTTGTTCTTTGTTGAGTTTTGTTTGTTAATATACTATTATATTAATACTTTATTGAGGAAACACTTTAATCTATCATTTTTATTATATTTTCTTTAATTTCTCTAAATGCCTTCCAACCTTCAATATTATATGGGTCTTACTTTTTTTCTCTGTCAATTATGTCTTTTATTTAACATTTTAAAGAGCCACTAGTTATGGCTCAGTAATTAAGAGCACTGGTTGTTCTTCCACAGGACCTGGGTTCCAGTTCCAGCACCTACATGTTGATTCACAATAATCTGTAACTCCATTTCCAGATCTGAGGGCACTGCATGTGCAATATACACAATATGCCTGCAGGCAAAGTACCCACACACCTAAGGTTAAATCAACTTAAAAAAGAGTTTCTGCACTTTTATATTTTCATTGTCATTAGATTTTTATCTTAAAGATGTATTCAAATCTTTGCTCAGAAATATCCATTCTGAAACTGGATGCCTTAGTGATGAAACTGTACATACTCATCTAACAGGAAGGAAGGCTGGAAGCAGCTGTAGAACCCAACAAGCTCTATTCCATCACTGATACCTTTGAGTTTGCTGACGATTATATTTTTAGTTATGTTGCCCATTTGAACCCTAACACCCAACCATTTCACAAGACTGTTGTATTGTAATTTCCAATGACACTCAGAGGCCAACTAGACCTGATTTTCTTGAAACTGGTCTTATTAATAAAACAAAGTAAAATTTCACTATCTCAGCATAGATGAAGATGATGAAATCCCATCTCTATCAATATGATGCTGTTTCCCAGAAAAGGATGTTAGATTGGTTTGTAATATCTCCTTTCACTTGTCCTTCATCAAGAAAATATTGCCTATTAAGCTGCAAACATTAATGCACCGTATATTTGCCTACCTGCTATTTTGTATGGCATTTGGCTATTCAGAAATTTCTGTGTTGAGGATATGCATGGACATTGAAAGTGATAGATGATAGATAGCCAGACAAATACATAGACACAGAGAGACCAAAAGAGATGGAAGAAAAGGGAGGAGAAATGAAGGGAAGAGAAAAAACATAAGACTCTAGAACAATGGAAGAGCATAGACATCACAGGTCAGGACATGTGTCAATTTACACAGACTTTTGTCAAGTAATTATTGAGAGAGAGAGATAAGAGAAGACTCTGCCTACTTCAGAATATGCATAATCATTAGTAATTCAGTAAGGTTCATCAAGAGCCCACTGAAACTCAGTAGAGGCTGGGGACCTCTGCCTGTATGTGTCCCACAAATGCTGTAGGTTATCTCAGGAATTCGTAGCAATTTTACTCATGGGCTTACTTCTCAAATTAAATGAATATAAATTCAATTAAGCCAACAACATCTTAAATCATGTCAGTAGTTCAGTGATGACAATTCTACATACTGTATCAAAGAGTCAACTCAGAGCTAGTACTCTTAATTAATTACTTATGTTGTCTTCACAAACAGTAATAATATTAGCTGTGTGTGGCCATTCTTCTTTATTCATGATTATGCAGTTTTGTAATTTGGAATGTATAAGTAGAAATACGTTATTTCCAAATACAACATTGCATGACTTTCAGTATATTCCATCTTGTAAAATTTGTCTCTGCTTGTATGATGCTATTCAGTCTCAGCTGTAGCAAGCAAATACAGAAAGAGCAACCATTTGTGTCAGAAATATAAAATTTCGTGCCACAACCAGAACTATATAGAGCATTCTATTGGCCTGTGATTATCTTCTGACATGTATTTATAACTCATTTGTATTTCCTTATGAGAGTAGAAAAGATATTGCAAGCTACTTATGCTAGTAACATTTGTCTTTATTACAGTGGAGAAAAGTCTGTCTTTGGAGTGGATAGTGTGCCTTTTCAAGCTTGCTGAAGCCAAAGTTATATTTTCTCCTAACTCTCCCACCTATAAATATATGATATAATGAAATGTGAAGATGTAGCATTCAGTGAGACACATCCTGTAAATAAAGATGAGTTACAGTTTAGAAAGGAAATGTGAAGTGCACCATGGTGTGTCAACTACCTCATAAACCACAAAAAGCACTCCTCACAAAAGTTGAGATTGTTCTACAAACTTTGAAACAAATTACATTAAAAACTAGTTGTGTTGTTTCTAAACTTTTTTTGAAGAAACCTACAATTTCTACATGTCCTTATTTAGTCATCCAGCAGAGTGAGGGAAGTTTGAAACAGCTGTAGTTATAGACAAATCATACCTCACTCTGATATCTCTGGATATATTGAAGATGCCATTTTCAATTATGTAAACTTAGGGCATTGCTTTTTAGCCAGTTCACTTGCAATATGCCCCAGTACTTGAGGAGAAAAACAATACACTTTGTCCCAATTGGAGCTTATTGGTTTTGCCAGGGGAACGGGAATTTTGGGATTCCCCCAAAAAATAGTTTCAACAATCTCTTCCTGCATTTATATACTTACTATGGTCATTACTACAATTCACATGCAGTTTATATTAGTCTTTGGGGAAAAGAGTAGAATATAGCAACTCTTCTTAATTTACCCTTGTGAATGTGGTGAAATCCCTTAAAACACCATGTATTGTTTGTTGTTGTTTTGGTTTGTTTTCACTTTTTCAGACAGTGTATTCGACCCCAGGTTGGGCTTGAACTTAAGATTTTCTGCCTTTGCCTCTGAAGCTCTGGCATTATGGTGGTGAGCCACCATGCTGAGCACAATGAGGCCTTTTCTGATTCTTGGTATGGATAACAAATCAATATTTATGTGACCATTAAAGTCCTGAGAAAAGCATACTTCATGACTCAAGTACGTGTTCCCAAACAATTCCTGTACATTTCACTTTTCATCTGAAAATACAGAGATATGCTCTGGGAAGTCACATTCAGTAATTCAATATCAACACCAGTACCAGAGAAAAATCTATTTTCTTTTTAAATAACTTTTGACCTTGATTGTAGCTGACAATAGGGACAGTGTTACTTCATTTGACAAGCATTGAACAACTATATATATATATATATATATATATATATATATATATATATATGCTGAAGATCAGAAAAGCAAAGCATCCAAGCCACTAGATAGTTCTTACCTCTGTAGCACAATTAATAAAACCCAGGACAAACATTGGGGTCAAGCTGAAGATCAGATAAGCAAAACAGCCAGCCACTATAGAGTTCTCACTTCTACCAATGTTCAGACCAAAGGAGTAATCCACTGAACCTCAGATGGCATCTCCAGACTGCACTGCTCTCCACCAAGTCTCCGAATCCTAGACTATTTTTGAGACTTTTCTGAGCTCCTTATATAATCTCTGGTGCTGGGATTAAAGGCAGGAGCTCTAATTCTCTTTTTTATTGATTCACTCTTATGGAGCACTGGGTGGCCTTGAACTCAGAGAGATACATCTGTCTCTGTCTCCTGAGTCCTGGGATTAAAGGTGTGTGCCACCACCACCCAGATTCTATACTAACTAGTGTGGCTGTCTTTGCACTCTGATCCTTCAGGCAATCTTTATTAAATCATAAATAATATATTACCACATACCTCTATGAAATCTTCAGACTGAAAGGAGATATCCTGCCATCACAAATTCTCAGACTGCAACCCTGTGAGCTCCTGTCTCCTCCCACCTCATATTCCTCTCTCTGACAAGCCTTATTACTCATGTCTTCACCTCCCTAGTCCTAGAATTAAAGGTGTGAACTCTGTTTCTCTTTTAGACTGATTCACTCTCATGTAGCACAGGGTGGCTTTGAACTCACAGAGATTCATCTGCCTTTGTTTCCTGAGTCCTGGGATCAAAGTTTTGTGCCACCATAGTTTGGTCTCTGGCTGTGGCTAGCTTTGCATATTGATCTCTAGACAAGCTTTATTAGATCATAAACAACATAGATAGATAGATAGATAGATAGATAGATAGATAGATAGATAGATGAGTAATAAAGAGGACTCAAAATATTTTCTCTAGAAATTATAATTTTTGTTCACTTTAGAACTGTTAGAAGCAAACATTTTAAACAAGAAGTAACGGTACTTCTTGCCCAGCAGTGGTTACTTCATAGTTTGAGTTTACATATACATCACCTCTTATGCTTGAATCTGTTGTTGTATTCTTATTTGTTTGGATTTGAATTTCAGAGCCAAGCTCTTATGCATGAAAAGAAGTACTCTACCAGTCCATTAGTTACTTTCTTTTTACTGTAACTAACACCTGACAAGAAGCAAGCTCTAAGGAAAGGCAGGTTTAATTTGGCTCACTCACTGTTCAAGGGTATGGTCTGCCATGGCTGACAAGTCATAGAAGAATGACCTTGTGGAAGTTGGTCACACTGTGTCCATAATCGGGAAGCTCAGAGTAGTGAATGTTGGGGTTTGGTTAGTTTTCTCCTTTTTATAAAGTCCTGGATCCCAGACCATGAAATGGAGCTGCTTACATCTAAAGCAGGTCTTCTACTTTAGTTAATCAAATCTAGATACACCCTCCTAGTCATATCCATAGGCTAACCCGATGTATATAATCCCTCACAGTTGAGTGCAGGGTCCTGTCTCCTAGGCAGCTGTAGATCCCATCAGATTGGCTATCAATAACAATCATTGCCACCAAATACACCCTAGACTAGAGTTTGTTGACATTAGTTTTTAAATTATCTTCTCTAGAATCCATGTAATTACATTTTCACTTCTTTTTTTTTTTTTACCCAGGCCTCTTAGGTAAAGAGATAAAGAGGAAATAAAATATACAGGATGAAAAGATGGCGATGCTGCCTCCTCCAGGACCTCAGAGCTTTGTCTACTTCACAAAACAGTCTCTTGCCCTTATTGAGCAACGCATTTCTGAAGAAAAAGCCAAGGAACACAAAGATGAAAAGAAAGAAGATGATGAAGAAGGTCCCAAGCCCAGCAGTGACTTGGAAGCTGGCAAACAGCTGCCCTTCATCTATGGAGACATTCCCCCTGGGATGGTGTCGGAGCCCCTGGAGGACCTGGACCCATACTATGCAGACAAGAAAGTAAGTTAGTGAGACTTCAGGGTCAGGTTTCTGTTGACTTCATTCCATACAAAGATATATGAAACTTAATGACTTCCTATTACTAGCCTTAATTAAATACATATTAGGATGTTGAGAATATGTACTTTTTCTAGTATTTTATTATAACTGATAATGGAATTGGCATGCTTATTTGATTAATTTTTTTCAACATATTCAACAGAAAGTCTGCCTTTTAGAGTGGCCTGGCCCTGCTACAACCTATTGTACTAGACTTTGTTGACTTCTCATGGGAGCCTTTACCCATGAGGAGGAGTAAACTGGGGGTAGGCTAGGGGGAACTTGAGGGGGGATGGAAGGAGGCAAGGGGGTTGAGAGAAGGGTTGGGAGGGAGAACTGTGATTGGAATGTAAAATGAAATAAAAATTGAATAAAAGAAAGTCTGCCTTTTAGGTATGGCATGATGAACACATCGCCTATAATTTTATAGTTACACCTATAATTTTTTATACTTCTTTAGTATGTAGGGTGCACGGATGAAGTCCCAACTTGATGGGAGTTAGTTCTCTGCTTCTACTATGTGAAGCCTAAGAATCAACTAAATTATCATCAAGCTTGGTAGAAAATGCCTGTACCTGCTAAGCCATCTTGCCAGCTAGTAACAGTAATATTTAGCTCCTATGTGTGTTGATTTTAAAATTCCTTTAAGGTTTCATCACAAAGGAATAATGCTAACTTCAATTATTACCCCTTAGTAGCCTATTTGTTTTCTAATGAAAGACAGAATGGGATTGGATTCCAGGGGAGGAAGGAAGGAACTGGGAAGAGGAGAGAGAGGGACAATGGTCATCAGTATACACTATGTTAGGAAAAAATCTATTTTCAATAAAAAGAAAAAGAAATTTAAACCAAAAAGGTCATTCTATTCATTTTTTTAAAATTTCAACTGCAGTGTAACTTGAACTTGCTAAGATTGTAATAACACAGTGGTTTTCATGTTTGTTTTGACTCCTTTCTTGGCCTTTTATAACACAATTCCTCCCTATGCTTATGTACAAAGCTAGTTGGTTAAGACAATGTTCACCTAAAAACAAACAAAAAAAAAGTTTCCCATACAAAAAAAACCCACAGGCTTATGAGCTTATCTCCCCAATTTAGTGAAAAATATTTATTGTTGGAAGACTGTTTGTAAACATATGTGAAACTTAGTAAGCAGACAACAAAAGGAAAAAATATCACTGCCTTCTAGAGAACACAAGTATTTTGCCTTCTAAGTGCAGAAAATCATGATGTTACTCAGACTTAGTGTTTCTGAGTTCCTAGCCTTGGATTATTTTAATATTTTGTGGTTATCATTTGTTTATTTGTTTAACTAAGTACAAAATTTATGGGAAATGTCATTTACCTTTGTGTATGTGTGTGTGTGTGTGTGTGTGTGTGAATTCTTCATTTAGCAGCCGTGTAGTTCATTGGCTAAAGTGACTGACACCTGCTTCCATGCATTCAAACTGCTTGTAAAGTCCCATGGCAGCATTTCTTCTGCCCTGCACTATGATACGAAGGTATTAACTACTCATAGAAATATGCTAGACGGAAATGTTGAAAGTAGGATTTCATCCTGTTTATTTTTCCTCCTTCAGACTTTTATAGTATTGAACAAAGGGAAAGCAATCTTCCGTTTCAACGCCACTCCTGCTTTGTACATGCTGTCCCCCTTCAGTCCGCTAAGAAGAATATCTATTAAGATTTTAGTGCATTCATATCCTTTCCAAAGCCTAAGCAGTACATCAGGATGTTAGGTTTGATCATATACTCACACCTGGACATGGGCTCTTCTGCACCTTGAAAGATCTTTATAGATTCTAATAGATTCTCAAACGAGAATGACAGGGTGGTCTTACTAGTGTTTTAGAATATGTTGATTTTATTCAAAGAGCCAAAAGAGTGATCTGTGCATCCATTTCGATTATTTTCTGAAGAAAAGTTGTGTTTTCATTTCAACCAATGTCATCATCAGCTCTTCCTTGTGTGGTTGTCCCATATTCCTTGACTGGAACTACTTTATTCAGCATGCTGATCATGTGCACCATTCTGACAAACTGCATATTCATGACCATGAGCAACCCTCCAGAATGGACCAAAAATGTGGAGTAAGTGTGCATCAGTATATTTTAAAGGAGAGTTAAATGATCATCTTCATCCTTTCTTTTTTCCTACCAGAAGTTGACAAGTTAAGTGAGTCTATAAACAAGGTAGTTTGTCTTCTCATGCATACAATGTTCTTCCAGTTCTTTCTTTCCTCCATGTTAACTCATTGGAAATAGGTTTGAATCATGAGATGCTACAGTGTTTCTGAAGTATGAACTTGTCATATCTCCTTTCCTGTTCAGAAACATGATATGTAGCTCATGTTACTGGTTATATTAGGCTCTATTGAGTTTGTCTAGACAGATCTAACACCCATGTTCTCAGTCCTTTAAGTATCTGTGTCTTCTGTGGCAATGCCATTTTTAAAATCTTTTTATTTAATTTAGAAACAATCTCACTTTACATAACAATCCCAGTTCCCTCTCCCTCCCATCCTCCCATGCCCCACACTGACACCCCCATCCATTCCCCAGGGAAGGTGAGGCCTTCCATGGGGATCATTAAAGTCTGTCACATCATTTGGGGCAAAGCCTAGGCCCTCCCTTGTGTATCTATGCTAAAAGAGTGTCCATCCATGGGGAATGGGCTCCCAAAGTCCATTTGTGCATTAGGGATAAATACTGGTTCCACCGTCAGAGGTCCCATAGACTTCCCAGGCCTTCTAACTGATACCCACAACAATGCCATTTTAAGAGTTCCTGGAAATCCTTTATGTAGTATGGTCATTGAGGTGTGGTGATCCATACACCAGCAGCTTCCAAGAGATGCCTACCTTTTATTAATCAGGGATAATAAACTGTAAAAATTTTAATGAGATGTTATTCTTTCCACACATAACATTTCAATGAATTATTTTCTTTAGATACACTTTTACTGGGATATATACTTTTGAATCACTCATAAAAATCCTTGCAAGAGGCTTTTGCGTGGGAGAATTCACCTTCCTCCGTGACCCTTGGAACTGGCTGGATTTTATTGTCATTGTTTTTGCGTAAGTACTCTCAATTTTCTGAACTGGAAAATTTATGAAAGTCTCAGAATAATATTCCTGTAAAATAACTTTTGGAGACTGATTTACCTTGCATGCAAAGGCTATATTTAAAGGTAAATGGACTTGTATAAAAGCTACTTATAGCCAGGCATTGGTGGCGCACGCCTTTAATCCCAGAACTCTGGAAGCAGAGGCAGGCAGATCTCTGTGAATTCAAGGCCAGCCTGGTCTCCAGAGCGAGTGCTAGAATAGGCTCCAAAGCTACACAGAGAAACTTGTCTCAAAAAAACAAAAAAAAGTGACTTATTCACATTCATATTTTTTTCAGAAAGTGTTTTCTACTCAAAACATGTTTAATGTAAAGATTATCTTTCTTCCTGCCCAGGACTTGAATGGGCATGAATTATACATGTATGTGTACAGTGTTAATTAGGTACACATTTTTCTTAAGATTTTATTTAAAAACTAAAAAGTGTGTGAGAAGCACTCACAATGCTCACTAAAGACTAAGGACTCTAATAGTAAGCACAATGCCTGTATTCATGAGCTAATAAGTATATTAAAATAGAAAGTTAAATATTCTTACCTGAGCTGTCACCACACGCTTTCCTCAATGTATTGTATAGTTATTCCATGTGCTCCACAGTCTACTTTGAGTATAATTTTAAGGTATTTGTATCTTTTTGCAAATTCACTTGTCAGAAACCTTTTTTAAAGTCTCCACCCTAGATAATTTCCTCTGTTATCTTGGATTCTAAAAGTAATCAATGTCTAATCTGAGACCATTTTGACAATTCCCAAGGTTCTTAGATTTCTAGTCTTGGGTTCCCTCATCCCTGCCCACCTCCTTACTTATCAGGTTTCCTCCAATAGAGAAGCTGTAGCTCCATTGTCTCCTGTGAATAAGAAAATGGCAATATGGGTACCCTTCTCATGGCTCCCCATTCTCTGTTGTTATAACCTGTGTATCATGAAATTCATCACTTTTAAGTAAACAATTCAGTGTTATCTAGTATATTTGCAAACTGTACAGCCATTACTACTATCTAAACTGAGAATATTTCACTCATTCCAAAAAAGAAATCCTTTATTGATTATTAGTCACCTCATAATACAGACTATTGAAAACACTATGTTGTTTTTGCTCTATGGATATGTCCAATGATGAACATTTCATCTGAATGGAATTAGCTGTGTTTGGCTTCTTTTCCTTAGTGTAGTGCTGTCAACATTTTAAAGGATATTAAAACTCTGTATTGCTACACTAAGCTGATGATGGAAGTATCTGATTTTTTAAGTATATGAACCACATTAAAATACAATATTTGGACTTTTGTCAAATGATTCAAATCATATACATTAGGTCAAATTTAGGACAGAAAAAGACTTGCCAAACTACTTATAGAAAATACTCTGAGTAACAGCACGGGTAAGTATTATAGATTCTACCTAGATTCTGAATAACTCTGATTTAATTCTACAGGTATTTAACAGAATTTGTAAACCTAGGCAATGTTTCAGCTCTTCGAACTTTCAGAGTCTTGAGAGCTTTGAAAACTATTTCTGTAATCCCAGGTAAGAAGTGATTGGTGTGGAGCATTAGGCCACTCAACTCCAGCTGTTTGGGAGTTTTCTTTGTCTGTGTGTGTGTTGTCACTGTGTTTGTGTATAAACTCCCCTATTACAGATATGTGACAGAGTTTGTGGACCTGGGCAATGTCTCAGCGTTGAGAACGTTCAGAGTTCTCCGAGCATTGAAAACAATTTCAGTCATTCCAGGTGAGAGTGGGGTTAAACACAGGGGCTGACTTTGACCTTATGGAGAAAAGAATTTCCTTCTATAGTTCAAACCAAATTGCATTTCTTCTGTTTTGTATTATAATCTTTATTAAAAAGTCAGCCCTTGAGTTTAACCAGCTGCATGGGTCTTGGAGAAGGCAGATGACCACTTGGCTCACATCTCCACTTGAAATTTTTCCTTCTGCCAAAGGGCTGATTTCCACTTTTTCAGGAAGGAAAATTTCAACTAATCAGAACTTCATATAGTTAAGAAGATAAGAAATATCTGCATGTGGATATTGCATGACACTCTTTTGTCTCTTTCAACAGACTGCTTCTTAACTGAAAATTAGTTCAGTATATGTTGTCATTCTGTGCTCCTTTCAGTTTCTTACATTTTTAGTATCATTATGTAGATGTGGTTTGTTTGACCAACATTTACTGAATTAGGCATTACAAAAATTATGTTTGTGAGTGTGGCCACGGTTTCAGCAACCACCATATTTAACTAATAAATCCAAAGATTCTTTGGGAATATTTTACTAGTTTTAACCACTTGTAGTTCATGGAAACAAATTGTGCAGATTCACACTTTTGAACCAGAAGACTTCTCTGGTTTCAATTATTTAATGCCACTGACTTGACATAATGCATGCTTTTCTAGTAAAGCTTGTGTTTCAATTTGTGTCTCAGAGCCTTTATGTCATTGTGAATGCACTTTTCTCCCCTACACTTTCAGGCCTGAAGACCATCGTGGGGGCCCTGATCCAGTCTGTGAAAAAGCTGTCTGATGTCATGATCCTCACTGTGTTCTGTCTCAGTGTCTTTGCATTAATTGGACTACAGCTGTTCATGGGAAACCTGAAGCATAAATGTTTCAGGAAGGAACTGGAAGACAATGAAACATTAGAAAGCATCATGAATACTGTTGAGAGTGAAGAGGAACTGAAAAGTAAGAATGCCCCTTACTGATAGTTGCTATCAGGTAGAAATAACACCAAAAGCTCGACTCTCTTCTAACAATGCATGGGTACTTGGATTTTAATTATTTTGAAGGTATTCAAATATACAATAAAATTGTCATTGTATGAATTTTAACATGGTAGAATTGATATAAGTCTTTCTTTTCTTTGGCCTTCTAGTGATTCTTTGTAGAAAGCTGGACTAGGTCCTGAACAACAAATTCCTTCAAAATGAAGATTCAAGTTGTTAGGGACTATGACTCTCACTAACCATTGCATCTATGTATACAATATGAATTTTTTCTATAGTTTTATTTTTATAAAAACATTAAGATAAATGGTGTAATATGCGATGCAATTCTATTTTTATTTAGATTATACTTAGAGCTATAATATCTTATAGTTAAATTAATGATAATAATGATAGAACTATCACTATTGAGACATTTGACTGTTCATAATATTTATGTAGGGTTTTATAAAACAAAACAACTTAGTTTTATCATCACCATTCATACAATAGTGATATTTAATCAATGTCATTCTTATAAATAATGATAAATTTGATAGGCTTTGTAGCTATTCCTGATAGTATTCTTGTTTATGATTGATGGAGTCTGCAAATAATAATTCAGAGGAATCTCTCCATTATTACAAGATGATCTACACATAATCTCAGAAGTCATCTCGATTCAGAAACCATATGTCAAACATCTCATAACACACAAACTGCGTGTTCACTAGATGGTTTCCCCTTAGAGTATTTTTCACGGGAGCTATTGATGAGCAATAAGCAAAATTGAAGTCAAGGCTTTTTCCATCTTGACACCTGGATAGTTTCTGTGTGACATTGCCTAAGTAACTTAGGATATAAAATTCCAATATGATCTCAGAAAACATGAAACCTTACCAGCTTAAATCCCTTTTGCCAAAAAGAAATTGGAATTCCCTTAGGGAGCAGTGAGTTTACTTTGTCTAGATGTTTTTAAATACTCACTGGTGATGTAAAAGCAAACCAAGCCTATCTGAAATAGTGAAAGAGTGTGAGTAAACAAAGAGTTTGGACAGGGCTAATGGGAGGAAAACTACACATTCCACAGTAAACTATGTAATATGTACTTCATTACTATCACAGTTTGTTATTAATTATCACTTTCATTATTCTATGATTTTCCAGTTTCTTATTTTTATAATCAATATCTTCCATTTTCAATTTCTGGAAAATACCATTTCTTAATTTGTTTACTACAGAAGTGATGAATACAATAATGTCCACATTTATATTCATTTTTTAAAAGTTCAATTTGCAATCCTTACCTAAATTTAACTTCTTGCACACTTGTGCCATTAGCATTCTTTTTACTCCAAGTCTTAACCTATTCTGAGTTCATAACTTAAATGTCTTTCAGATCTTGGTTAGAATAGAAGAAAATCTTCAAACACATTTTTATTAGAATTTGTTTGAGCAAAGAATGATTCATGAATCCAACTGACTGGGGAAAGAGAAGAGGTTCAGACAGCTCAGTCCATCAATTAGGAAGCCACTATTTGCAGACAGAAAAAAAAAGTCATTACTTAGAAAAACAGCTTATGGGTTACAGGTTAGCATTTGCATCACATGCGCATGGCCTGATCAGGTGATTCATGGTGGTGATTAAGTGAGGACCAGCTGCTCTGATTGGTCAAGACTAAGCTGCTTGCTATAAAGATGTATTTAGGGATAGCTTATTTCTGTACATTTGGTTACTGTTCTTTGTGTATGGAGATAGCATCAGGCCAAATTTAATTTAACACTTTTCCCTTTTACTCAACTCCTAATTTTTCAGAGTTTAATGAAAATCATGGGCACTGATGTCTCTTTACTTCACCATGCCAGCAGGATTGATTAGCCTCAATTTGGGATTCAGAATTCCCAACTTCTGATAACCTTAATATTCCTTTCTGCACTCATTGTTTTTTATTAATTTTAATACAGCAAGATCATTTCACTTATAATTGATCACTGCGTAGAGAAAAGTAAGACTTTTGAGAGAATGTAGAATATAAAGGAAATTATTTTTATGTCTATAAGAAAATAGCAAGACATTGATGCATATTGTGTAATAGAATTTCCCACAACTGAACAGATCAAAGTCTAATGTACAATAATGACCTAAACATAGTCTATCTTTAAATGTGATTGTTTTTTATTTCTTATACTTCTCATATCTCTTGTTTATTCCTTACTTATTTTTATTACCTGGAGATTGAACCCAGGACCTCAACATATGTTAGCTAAAATCACTACCCACTGAGTTATATCCCCAGACACAGTGTTTTCTTTATCTTGAAACTGAAGTTCTACCATTCCAAATATATTTATTGAAGTGTATTAGGTGTTAGTTACTTGCTTACCAACATGTAGTTCAAAGCAATCTTCTTACTTAAAGAAGCTGGCTGAGCAATTATGACCTTTACAGTAGAGTTATCTATTGTAGTCAATATTGGAGACACAGGTAATGAATGTATTTATATGTATGCTCAACTAGGGAAGGAATGTTCCATGCAAATATATCCACATAGAGGGTTATATGCCTACTGGTAAAATTTAGATGAATATACTAATGCTCAGTTGCCTGTTGGCTATGTACTGACAGCTATAGTTTTAGAATTCATTATGAATATTGGCCATTCATTGAAACAAAAAGTTTTTCATGGATGTGATGTAATGATAATTAAATCACTAAATCCTCTAAAGATAAAATACACCCAGAAAAGGTGTCACACGTTGTTCCCTGTAGGATGACTTGGAAGTTGCCAGCAAGAAAGCATGGAATTTATGGTTCCAATGCTGAATCACTGTATGGTTACAGGCTACCAACTATTAAGGAATTAAGGGTATACATTTGTTTCAGACTTTCCATTTTGATGATGTATTATCCAATTTCTGATATAATTTAACTACAAAATCATCTACAGGTTTTGACTACTATTATATTTAAATGAAGATTCCAAATACGTGATTCTGAAAATTTAACCCTAAAGTGAAGACAACATTTGCAATTTGAACAATTTTCTTCATATTTCCTAATTTTGTTTTTTAAAATCACTTTGCTCTACTACGGTGTAAGCAAGTCACATAGTGCCATTTTAAGAATGGAAACAGGTCTTAGTATGAATTAGGAAGCTACTCAAAATGTCCACATTTAACACCAGATTTACTTTATTTTAAATACTTATTTATTTTCTCCAAATTAGGCACAAAACAGTATTTGTCTGACTAGATATCACCCACCATTTGGTGTGGGTCAAAGGAAATATCTTAACAATTTTAGTGCTGCCCATCTGAGCTAGATGAAAACATGAAAAGACTTTTATTGATGTTTAATTAATCATTTTGCTTAATGTTGTGAAGTTAGTTTTATAAAGTATATTGAGTTCATAATCATTAGTGATGAAGAATTCTTACCCGTTTAATCAATGTTATGACAAATACATTGATATCTTGGCAAATTGTGGGATTTCTAAAACACATTCTAATAATGTAGCCAAAGAGACAAAACTAAAAGCAAGCCAAGAATTACCTAATACCTGACAGCACTATTTGGGCACTTTGTAAATCAAGGCAATTCTTTATCTTTCTTTATATAAAGGCAAACACAATTCTAAGATGACCAATTGGTCCTTCTCTCAAAAAAATTGAAATTAAAAAGATTAATAAATGAATGAATAATAATATGCCAAAAATCCAAGAAAGCACAAATGCTTTCACTTAGTGAGCCAGTACAGATTTTAGAAGTTGGTTAAAATTTTAGAAAAATATAAGTAATTCCCCTCTAATCTTAGCCACATTTATCATGCATAAAATTTCTTTCACAATGTCTATTTTCTATGGGACCCCCATGATCTTAATAGTTCTTTAGCTATTTGTCCTATACTATTATTATTTCTCAGTTTGAGACAACTAGCCATGCTACTATAAAAAGGTTTACAGTCTTAGTCCCATTACAGAATAAAATATGTTCACACAGTAAAGCTTATGTTTTTGAGCTCGGGGGGGGGGGGGGGGGGGGGGAGTGGGCAAAATTTAAAATTAACCAGTTAGTCAAGTAAGGTTTGAAAGACACTAGATAGAAATTTTAAAAATTAAACTATGTAAGAGATGAATTTAATCAAAACATAAGCACTAATATACTGTAGCTGAACTGAGAATAAGAAAATAGAAGACATTCTTTTCATTGTGAAGATCACCAATGAAAACAATAGGTCTGTAGTGGAGTGCAGCACACTGCACTTCTCAGCTCTGAAAGCCTTACTTGGATAGATATGGAAACTCACAAACACCTCAGACAGGTGACAAGGAAGAAGACATGCCTTCTCCAGACAGGTCAAAAACAAAGCTTAAACAGAACTACTTATTATATAAGGGTAGAACAGAAATGAGTATACATACTTTTTTCAATACTATATATTTCAAATAACCTATTATTTGAGAGCATAATATATGTTTGTCTAAATATTATAAAAAGCCACCAGGTATCAAAAATTTAAAGTATAAAACTCGAAACAACAACCTCTTTTAATATTCTCCTTCAGCCAAGAAACTACATGATTGGCTGGCCCTCACCAACGCATATCAGAACAGCTGGGTTTAGTGGGCAAGCCTAGAATCCCAGCACTTGGGAGGCAGAAATGGATTGTGTCAAACTCAAGGACATTCTGGCCCATATACTGAGTTCCAGGCCAGCCAGGGCTACATTAAACCAACCAACCAACCAACCAATCAACCAACCAACAAACCAACCAACCAACCAACCAACAAACCAAACAACCAACCAAGCAACCAACTCACCCCACAGACAACAATCCCAAACAGCCAGAGGTGGTGTTATATAACTACCATCCCAGCACCTGGGAGATAGACAGAAAGATCAGGAATTCAAGATTATCTTAGGAAAACATAGTCTAGGCCACCCTGAGCTACATATGACACAAAAACCAAAGCCAAGTC